GAATTAGAAGATCTAATTTATTTATAAATTATTTGTTATTTTAACTCCTTAAATTAAGATATTATTAACATTATTTATATTAAAAAGAGTAAAAATTTGACTTGAATTAAGTTTTATCATAGATATTTCTAAATCATAAATATAAATCTATGAAATATTAGAGAAACTCAGTAAATAAGAGGATGGAATTTGGTTGTTATTATTATTATTATTATTGCAAGTATATAAATTAGAAATTTTTATTGATTATAGTATTATTTTTTGAACATTAGAAAAGTTAATCTAAATATTTTAAATGCATTAGTTTGATATGCTTATATTCTACCAAATAATAGTTTAAACATTTTAATCAAAATTAACTAAATTCTATGAAGAATTTTCCTCAAAAATGAAATCAAAGTTGAATAATCTCAATGTAGGTAATTAGAAGTATTAAAATGTTTAATTATTTAAAGTGAGATTATTATCATTTTATTAAGGGTAAAATATTAATTCTGAATTAATTAATTACTTTTATTATACATATTAATTAACGTTTTAGAACTACTCATTTGTTACTTATAAATAAATTAAATTGGTCCAAATTTATTAATTCTAAGTAGAAGATCCTTATATAGTAAAGACAAGATTTTATTTAGGTGATACATTTGAAAGTTTTTGATTTAATTATGAAATATCATTATCATTAATTATAATTGCACATTCTAATTACTCATTACTTTAGTACATGGATATACTAAAATTATTTTCAAAAACTCCACCTTTATGTAACCCAAATATTGTTAAAATATTATCTGCTTGATTGTAAATTGATCCCATATATCTTGGATAGTTATATTGTTATTAATAAATTAGATTATTAGAGCCATTTTAAAGTAAAAAAACTTCAAATTTAGATATAAAAAAGATGGCAATAATATTATTATTTATTAATTCATAATCTGTGATATAGTCACTTATAAAATTTCTTTTGATAACTGTCATTAATGTTATTTAATCAGAAACTAAATAAATATTCAGCTAAAAAGGGCAAAAAGATATTAAATAGTTTTATGATATCATTATTTTATTTCCTTAATTTTATGTAAGAGCCAAAAACTATTCTTGTTAATTTGAAGAGAAATTCCAAGTGTAGGCCTTTTTTTATCCACTAAAAATGAAAATGTATCTTGTGTACATTACATCAAGCACAAAATCGACTAAGATATTGGATGCATCTTCCATTACTAAAAATGTTAGATTTTATTCCGATAATAGATTTTTGTTGATAATATCTACAACAAGCAAACTACCACCGTTAGTAGCAAAGTAAGCAGTCTTAGTTTATTATTAGGTTTCTTACAAAATCATAGAAATTATTGAAGTATTAATTTAATTTTTATTCTATATAGAGTAGTATTGTTAACTTAAATCCTTCAAATTAAATTATAATACCTAACCATTACTTAATCCAATAAAAACTATATTTTGGTCTTTACTGCAAATATGTTAAGTTATTATGACAGATGCTTCAAGCTATATAGTGCTGATTACTTCTCCTGTTAGGATGTTACAGTAAATTAATTTTTTATCGTATGTAAGATATACGTTATATTATAAAAATTTGAAGAATTTAATTTATTATAAAATCTTCATCTAAGGTATAAGATTATTGTCTTTTGAATTTTAGTAATTTTGATAGAAAATAATCTAGTCTTTTTATGCTATTATTAAAGTATCAGAAGAAAAATAGTACATAGAATCTACTATTTAAGAACCGTTTATAATATTTTCAAAAATTAGACTGTATTTTGAATACCTGAACATAACATTATCACTGTTGAAAAATAAAAATTCTAGTTTCTAATCTTGATTATTTATTGGAATAGTGGTATACAAATTATTTGGTTCATTTAATTATGCTTCATAGAAATACCCTATTAGACTGTAATCAATTTGATATATGGTATTAATGCTGTAGACTATTAGATTATTAGTAATATTGTCATATGAAAAGTTAACTAATTATTCTGTTCCATCAAATACTTCTGAAATTTTAAAATTACTTCTGACTGATAAATCAGTGTATAAGTTATAGGTATATATATTTCCATAGCTATCTAGGAAGATTATTTGTGCTGTACTATAATCAAAAAACATGTTTATGACATTACCTACTAAGTTTGAAGCAAAAGAAGAAGCATTTATTTTTGCAGTATTTTATAAAGACAGTGAGTCATAGATATATATTTATGCAAATGTGCTTAAATTGGCATATAAAACTATTTATTACAAGAAATCTATATAAATATAGTTCACAATAAGCATGTCTGAGGGTGATTAAATATAATTAGACTAAAGATTCAACGATGCTCTCTCAATAAAATATATACCTAATTATTAAATTAAATTAAATGAAGTAAATTAATATTTTAGAAATGAATATATTTACTTGAAGATGATTGGAATATAAGGCGATTAGCTGCAATACTAAAAGAAATAAATTAAGTATTAAATTTATAACCTAGTTTATATACTCCATTAAAGCTATATACTTAAACTTACTGATTGTAAAAAAATATATTTTAGAATTATTCGTCCACAGATATTTTATATTAGCTTGTAAAACCGTTTATTTAGATACTTTATAAAGATATTTAATCAGCAAGCTTATTTATTATAACAAATTAACTATTTGAAATACTACAAATTTAAATGAATTGTGTGTCTTAACACTACAAGAATGATATATTTTTATATTAATCAGGAATAGTTTATAAAATTTTTAGATCAGAACTAAGTATTTGAAAGCTGCTTCCATATATATAAAATGTATTTGAAGAAGGATTAAAAATCCAGCCATTTATTTTATTCATTCCTTTATAGTAGAATTTCTACGATTTTTTACTATAAGCAACAACAAGTAACTAGTTTTAGTTCCAACAAACAAGACTTTATTAATCCTAAATTAATAAAAATGAAGAAAATGGTGGGTCAGTAGAAATTTATGGAATTATTTATTCAACAAACTGATTAGTGAACAAATTGAAAGATGTTATTTAGTATTTGGTTCTAATAAAATACATTCCTAGCTTCGCGCTTTAAATAATTTCTAGTATTTAATCATTTTTATTATTCTATTATAATATTTAATTTGTTGGTAATACTTGGTACCTATTTTATTAGTATTTACCAGTATAAATCAAGCCTAACTAACTCCCATAGTAGATTTGAAAGTTTAAAGGAGATCCAATCATTTTGTAAGCAGATCCTGATGCTAAACCAATATTAATATGATCATGACCTCCAATATATGTAATATTTCTTTTAATATCTACTTAGAATTATTTGAAAAGAGTGGAAGTGCTTAGCAAAATAGTTCTCGTAAAGCCATAAAACACATTTCCATATGCGTTTATTATTTTTTTTGGCTCTTCAATTGATGGGAAATAATTATTAGTATGAATTAAAAGAGAGTAACTTAAATTTTTGGATACTAAAAAAATGCTATTGTTGCCTTAAACTAATTAAAAGCCTGCTAAAAAGTAAACAGATGCATCGTTTATTACTCTTTTAACAGAAACAACCCTTTTTAGCAAACTAATTTTCACTACATAGCTGTTTGAAAGATATCCATCTAAAATGTAAAAATTACTCTATGCGTCAAAATACACTATTTCGTCAATAGAGTATTTATTTAATATTGTGTCTTAATCAGAGTTAAAAATTTGTATTCTATTAAAGTATTAAATCTAATTTGTTGTAAATATTTAATTTATATTTGATGCTTATTAACTTTCAAAATTAATTTAATATATTGAAATTTCTTAAGCTTTTTAAATGAAAACTCTTGAATCATAGCTCAATACAATATTTAAATTATTACTTGAAAAAATAGTCTAGCATTCCAAAAATAAGGTTTTAAATTCAGAGGTGACAATTTGAATGCAATTATTATAATTAATTGCTAATTTATCATAATTTGATACGATCTAAATAATGTTAGTTAAATTAGTAAATTAATTTAAAATAATTTGTTATTGAGGATCAATTAATAAAATATTTTAGCCCATAAGTGCTGCAATTCTGTTATCATGAAACTTCTATAAATCGAGGCATGTTTAATTCTAAAAACTCAATTTTTGAATAAGATTAATATTAATTCCTCTAGACGCATCATAAAAAATAATATCTCCATTTTAATGACACGATATTAATAGTTATGGAGAGAAAGTTAGGGCTACTGAATTGGTTTAAGAAGAAGGAGTGGGAAACGGTAGATTGAAATTTTCTATGATATCTAACTCCAAAGAGGATTCCTAAACATTGCTATTCCTAATTATTTAAATTGAGTTCTAAGAAAATAAAACAATTTCAAATACCATTTATGATTCGTTTTCTTGATGAGGGTCAAAATTTAAAGGGATTTTCTTTAAAAATTGACATTAAAAATTCAAAGAAAAAGTTTGCTATGATTATTAATATTAATTGTTTGCAAAATTGTAAATTATTAGCTAAATTTGATTAGAGAGAACAATTAGCTGACTATTTGTTCCAGTGAAGGTTCCAACATCAAAATCTGAAATTATTTGATTTTCATTTGAAATTAGGTTTGATTATTTTGTAATGTAGTTATAATCTAGGAGGCTTTACCCAGTTAGAATTATTAAATGTTGGGTAATTAAATCATTTGATGATGTTATTATTTTTACTTTTTGAATAGATTATTAAAGTATTAAAGTAGAGAATGTTTGCGCAATTAAATCAATCTCTAATATTTCGTTAGCAAAAATAGCAAAAATTCTGCTTGAATTTGTTGATTATAGCATTTAAATAATATTACCTTTATTTTCAAAAGAGAAGATTATAGGCTGGTTTAAATTTAGGCTATTATCAAGAACTTAATAATTGATTTATGAAATGATCAAATTAGTCTGATTACCCATAAAAATTTGATTTTTTAGAATTTAAATAAATTAATGAGGAAAATTGATTTAAATAACATTAGAAACTAACTTTTTTTGTTAAGTTATATCATAAATTATTTAAAATTATGAAAAGGATTATTATATTTGTTGGATTAGCAAGTAATTACCCAAAAACAAAGTAAATTAAGCTTGTTAATTTAATTAAACAATATTGCTATTATCAATGATCTACCTGTTTTCGTTAATAATGTCCCAAATGTTGATTGAGAAGTCTTTTTTGAGAATCACTACTAAATCTCCTATGTTTTAAATTCTTAAATCATCTGTTTAGTAGCTAAGATTTTTTACCAAATCTAACTTACTTTTATTATAGATAGAGAGATATCCTTATTACAGAGATACATAATAGGATTTTTGATATGTAAAAAAATCTGTTGGAATGCCGTTGTTTAAAAAATTTGGTTGAGTTGAGTAAATTGACGAGCATTTGACCTATTTTTGGCATGTATTTGTTGGTAAATCAGCAAAGTATAATGGATCACAAATAGACTAGCAGCTTCCTTAAGAGTTTTCATCTTAGTTATTGTGATTTTAGTAGAATAAATTCTACTGGCAGTTTTGATAGATGCAAGAGCCATTGCTTAATTGATACTCGCTTAAACATTAATTACAAGAGGATATATTATTTTTAAGCGTAACACAAGCTTGGCATCCTATCTGGCATTACTGAGCTTATAATTTCGATATGTTTACTATGAAAATAGTTAAAACTAGGTACTTAATCTATTTCATTAAAACTTTTTGTTATTAATAAAAGACCCTAACTTTTTTGTTTTGTTCAAATAGTACAAAATTCTTATTGTTTTAATAAAGTTTTTTTATGTTTCTATTTATATTATTTAACAAAATAATTTAAAATCAGTATTATTCTTTTTAAATTTTAATTACAAAGGTATAATTAATCTAATTAGAATAGCAACCTATTCTTAGAAGTGGTTATGTAATATAGCACTTTCATGAATTAAATTCTTGCTGAAGTTGAGATGCGAGAATTTAATTCATGAATAAATAAAAAAATAGATTAATATAATAAATGAAAATTTATAATATTTAAGCATTTAATCATTTTTTAAAAATTTTAAAAATAAAATTTATAATTTTAAATTACATTATTTATTTTTTACAAAAGTTTTATTAATTGTAATATTTTATTTTTAATTTGTTTTAATTCAAGATGAAATCAAATTAAAATAGTAAAATTTATTTTTAAATTATATACTAATCTATGAATACTACAAATTTTAATGAATTTAGAAAATGGATTATATTTTTTACAGATTTTAAAATAAATGATAAAAAAATAAATAAATTTAAAATCTATTTGTTTGTATTTATTATTGGATAAATGGATATAATTTGTACGAAAATAATCTTTTAGTGTTTATTTATTTATTTTAGCTACTTTATTAAAAGATTTGCCAATATTGAATCTGATTAATATGCTTTAATTAGTTAGATATAAAAATGGATATAAAATTATTATTAATAAATAAAAAATTAATTTAATTATGATTAAATTCCCACAATCTACATAAATGAAATGCCTATAAGCACAAACTACATATATTCAGTTGTTTAGAATGCTGGATTAATCTTTATGATAAAATGAAAATTTAGAATATAATATCGAAGATTTAGGTGAAAAGTTATAAATTTCTACTTTTTTAGGATCAGATATCTCTAATTATTGATTTTATTCACTCTCTAATATAAAATCATTCTTATAATTGTTATTATCTTCATCAGTATTAAAATTATGGGTTAGCAATTTAAAATGACTATTTTATTTCTTTTTATTCTGACTCAAAATTAGATTATTTTAAAAAAATCTCTATTTTTATTTGTGTATTTATGTTTAAAATGATAACACTATTATTAAATTAATAAAAAAAATTTTTAATTTGTAAAATATAAATAGAAAAGCATTACTTTTTTCATTAGTGTCTGCTAGTTAAGATTTATTTTATGAAATTAATCTTGACGATTGAATACTCATATTTTAAGAGGCCTTAGACTAAATAATTTTTGATATGTTTTTTCTAATAAGTTTCCAATAGAGATATGTTTAATAAGATGTTTTAGAACTAAATACATAATGATTATAATACTTATTTGTCAAAACTTTCTTTAAAATGCATTGAATAAATCTGTTAAAAATATTTTTATTTTACCTTGCTTTATAGACCATTATTTAGAAACCGCAAATGATAAAAAATATATAGTCAATCAAAACTATAATTATTTCTACAATTTTTTATGCTAAAAATGATGAATCTTCTTTAATTTAATTTAAATATATTTTTGCTATCAATAGTGAGTAAGCTAAAATCTCACTTGACTATATCTATTAGGAAATAATGGGATTTATTTTTGTTAGTGCTACTATGTATAATCCTATTATAACGAAGCTTGAACCAAAAGCAAATTTGCTAGATGGGTCAAAAATTAAATTTATGTAAATTAAAATTATTTTTATGTACATCCTAATGAACTCCCAATAATAATTTCTATTCTTTAGTTCCGCATAATAATACCCATAGAAATATTTAACTCTACATTCATTTAATTTCAGTTTATTTTATTTTAGTTTTAACAGAAAAATTATTGGCAAGAGTGTCCAATAAAATAGGATTAAGATCGAAAATGGATATAAAAATTTAATAATATTTTAATCATCACATTTTTTACTCAAGTCATAAGGATTTAATGATTAACTTCCTACCTATTAACAAGTTAAGCTTTTAGAAAAGTAAGATATTTACCCAATTTAAAAGAATATTATAAATATATGGAAAAAAGTAAAGTAGTGGTAGCTCTTGATTATTTTTTTAGAAAATAATTAAATTATTTTGAGTGTTACTAAGACTATGATAAATAGCAATAAAACCAACATTATTTAAGCTAGAGAGAAAAAAAAAACCTTTCCATATTATTTAATAATATTTGCACTTACCATACACTCAATTCCTAGACTAATCTGTCTATTTGTTTATCCTAAAAATGAGTTTAAGATGTTAATATTCACTGGTAAAATTTAATTTTAAGGTTATAAAAGAGAAGAAAGCTGGTAGTAGCTTATAATTATTTTTATATAAAAACCAGAATAGTCATTTATAGAGCTTTTAGAAATAGGCAAAAGTTTCATCTATCTTAAATAATAGCAGCATTAAGAATATTTAAACTGTGAAACAAATACAAATGTTGTGAATATGAAATAAGCCGCCATTGCAATAATTTTTAGTATAAAGTAAATCCATTGAATACTTGCTTAATAGCATTCTTAGCAAATACCTTTTTTCATAGATTCACCGTATCTTAATTATTACCAAACTTCTCCCAGATAATCACACTCTTAACATAAAGGGCCTACATATCCTTCAATACAATAATTTATAGATTAAGGATTTTCTGCTTAGCAAGACCCTATTTAAGAATTACATTCAATAATTTCATCAGTTTGTTCATTTTTTCTCCAGTAGCCATCTTTAATCTTAATCATAGGGCCTTAACATTCTAAAGCAGAATTTGGACAATTTATACATTAATTTTATACTCCAGATTTAAGATCTTGGGACTATTCATACATTAAATCAGGATCTAGAAGTGAATATGTACCTTATTAGCAAAGTTTACATATCATAATTTAATTAATTTATTCTTCAATTATTTCACCTACTGAGCAATTTCTAAAATAAATTGATAAAACTGTAGGTAATTGTATTTAAGAACTTGTTAAAATATTAGAGCTTATCGTAAAGAATTATTGAGATGATAAAACTCCTTAAATTTATAATCCAGTAAGTTCAAATGACTAACTATCGCTATTATATTGATTATAATTCAAAATTCTCTCACCAATAAGTTATGTTTATTCTGTATCCAAATTATTGATTATAACTTCAATACTTTTTAGCTCTTCTAAAATATCATTTGGATATTAATTAGTTATAAGTTTTTGTAAAGAAAAAGAAAGATAACGGTTATAATTGTCAACCAAAAATATTTTTAATGAAAGTTGACCACCACTTTTGAACTAATTTATATCAACTAGAGATATGTAGTTTTGTTTATAATTTTAAGGCATGCTACTATTGTCATTAAAGAATCTAAATTCATAATTATTTTAAGACATTTAAGCATTAGAATTTTATATTAATATTTTTTCAAGATAAGTAGCAGAGTTATCTCCATATAAACTTGCCTTATTTTAATTTATATTTTTTTCAAAAGGAAAGCCTGGTGGTAATATGATTTTACCTGATTCAGTCTAAACAATTCTAATTCCGCCTCCAATTAAAGCTTAATTTTGTATTACTTTTGTCTTTTCATCAAAAAATATTTAAGTAGAGCCTATTTCTTTAAAATATAGAGCTCCTCCACTGCTTTCTGCTGTATTATTTTAAAATAAGCATTCAGTGAAATTGATACATTTTTATGTATTTGAAAAAGAAATAGCTCCACCATTTTAAGCAGTATTATTAGAAAACACACTTTTATATACTAATACATTATAAGAGGAACTTATTGTGAAAATACCTTAGTTTAATAAGTAAGTTATTTCTTGTAAAATAATATTAGAATTTTAAATTTTCAAAAGCTATTGGCTAGGATTTTAATTTGAGCTAAAATTTAAATTTGACAATTTAAATATGTCATTAAACAAAACTGTAAGTTAATCATTGTCAATATATTAGTTCAATGATTCTATTAACTGTATTTAGCTATTATTATAAAAAATAGAATCATAAATAAATACTCTTTAGCAACCAAAGAAGTTAAAAATACAATTGCTTTAGAATTTCTCTATATATATTTATTATTACAAATTTCTGCTATGTGAAGAACTTTTCTCTATATAATTATTACTAATATTCAAATTTGAAATAGTAGTATTATCAATTTAAGCGAATTAGAAGATCTAATTTATTTATAAATTATTTGTTATTTTAACTCCTTAAATTAAGATATTATTAACATTATCTAAATTAAAAAGAGTAAAAATTTGACTTGAATTAAGTTTTAACATAGATATTTCTAAATCATAAATATAAATCTATGAAATATTAGAGAAACTCAGTAAATAAGAGAATGGAATTTGGTTGTTTACTATTATTATTATTGCAAGTATATAAATTAGAAATTTTTATTGATTATAGTATTATTTTTTGAACATTAGAAAAGTTAATCTAAATATTTTAAATGCATTAGTTTGATATGCTTATATTCTACCAAATAATACTTTAAACATTTTAATTAAAATTAACTAAATGCTATGAAGAATTTTCCTCAAAAATGAAATCAAAGTTGAATAATCTCAATGTAGGTAATTAGAAGTATTAAAATGTTTAATTATTTAAAGTGAAATTATTATCATTTTATTAAGGGTAAAATATTAATTCTGAATTAATTAATTAGTTTTATTATACATATTAATTAACATTTTAGAACTACTCATTTGTCACCTGTAAATAAATTAAATTAGTCCAAATTTATTAATTCTAGGTAGAAGATCCTTATATAGTAAAGACAAGATTTTATTTAGGTGATACATTTGAAAGTTTTTGATTTAATTATGAAATATCATTATCATTAATTATAATTGCACATTCTAATTACTCATTACTTTAGTACATGGATATACTAAAATTATTTTCAAAAACTCCACCTTTATGTAACCCAAATATTGTTAAAATATTATCTGCTTGATTGTAAATTGATCCCATATATCTTGGATAGTTATATTGTTATTAATAAATTAGATTATTAGAGCCATTTTAAAGTAAAAAAACTTCAAATTTAGATATAAAAAAGATGGCAATAATATTATTATTTATTAATTCATAATCTGTGATATAGTCACTTATAAAATTTCTTTTGATAACTGTCATTAATGTTATTTAATCAGAAACTAAATAAATATTCAGCTAAAAAGGGCAAAAAGATATTAAATAGTTTTATGATATCATTATTTTATTTCCTTAATTTTATGTAAGAGCCAAAAACTATTCTTGTTAATTTGAAGAGAAATTCCAAGTGTAGGCCTTTTTTTATCCACTAAAAATGAAAATGTATCTTGTGTACATTACATCAAGCACAAAATCGACTAAGATATTGGATGCATCTTCCATTACTAAAAATGTTAGATTTTATTCCGATAATAGATTTTTGTTGATAATATCTACAACAAGCAAACTACCACCGTTAGTAGCAAAGTAAGCAGTCTTAGTTTATTATTAGGTTTCTTACAAAATCATAGAAATTATTGAAGTATTAATTTAATTTTTATTCTATATAGAGTAGTATTGTTAACTTAAATCCTTCAAATTAAATTATAATACCTAACCATTACTTAATCCAATAAAAACTATATTTTGGTCTTTACTGCAAATATGTTAAGTTATTATGACAGATGCTTCAAGCTATATAGTGCTGATTACTTCTCCTGTTAGGATGTTACAGTAAATTAATTTTTTATCGTATGTAAGATATACGTTATATTATAAAAATTTGAAGAATTTAATTTATTATAAAATCTTCATCTAAGGTATAAGATTATTGTCTTTTGAATTTTAGTAATTTTGATAGAAAATAATCTAGTCTTTTTATGCTATTATTAAAGTATCAGAAGAAAAATAGTACATAGAATCTACTATTTAAGAACCGTTTATAATATTTTCAAAAATTAGACTGTATTTTGAATACCTGAACATAACATTATCACTGTTGAAAAATAAAAATTCTAGTTTCTAATCTTGATTATTTATTGGAATAGTGGTATACAAATTATTTGGTTCATTTAATTATGCTTCATAGAAATACCCTATTAGACTGTAATCAATTTGATATATGGTATTAATGCTGTAGACTATTAGATTATTAGTAATATTGTCATATGAAAAGTTAACTAATTATTCTGTTCCATCAAATACTTCTGAAATTTTAAAATTACTTCTGACTGATAAATCAGTGTATAAGTTATAGGTATATATATTTCCATAGCTATCTAGGAAGATTATTTGTGCTGTACTATAATCAAAAAACATGTTTATGACATTACCTACTAAGTTTGAAGCAAAAGAAGAAGCATTTATTTTTGCAGTATTTTATAAAGACAGTGAGTCATAGATATATATTTATGCAAATGTGCTTAAATTGGCATATAAAACTATTTATTACAAGAAATCTATATAAATATAGTTCACAATAAGCATGTCTGAGGGTGATTAAATATAATTAGACTAAAGATTCAACGATGCTCTCTCAATAAAATATATACCTAATTATTAAATTAAATTAAATGAAGTAAATTAATATTTTAGAAATGAATATATTTACTTGAAGATGATTGGAATATAAGGCGATTAGCTGCAATACTAAAAGAAATAAATTAAGTATTAAATTTATAACCTAGTTTATATACTCCATTAAAGCTATATACTTAAACTTACTGATTGTAAAAAAATATATTTTAGAATTATTCGTCCACAGATATTTTATATTAGCTTGTAAAACCGTTTATTTAGATACTTTATAAAGATATTTAATCAGCAAGCTTATTTATTATAACAAATTAACTATTTGAAATACTACAAATTTAAATGAATTGTGTGTCTTAACACTACAAGAATGATATATTTTTATATTAATCAGGAATAGTTTATAAAATTTTTAGATCAGAACTAAGTATTTGAAAGCTGCTTCCATATATATAAAATGTATTTGAAGAAGGATTAAAAATCCAGCCATTTATTTTATTCATTCCTTTATAGTAGAATTTCTACGATTTTTTACTATAAGCAACAACAAGTAACTAGTTTTAGTTCCAACAAACAAGACTTTATTAATCCTAAATTAATAAAAATGAAGAAAATGGTGGGTCAGTAGAAATTTATGGAATTATTTATTCAACAAACTGATTAGTGAACAAATTGAAAGATGTTATTTAGTATTTGGTTCTAATAAAATACATTCCTAGCTTCGCGCTTTAAATAATTTCTAGTATTTAATCATTTTTATTATTCTATTATAATATTTAATTTGTTGGTAATACTTGGTACCTATTTTATTAGTATTTACCAGTATAAATCAAGCCTAACTAACTCCCATAGTAGATTTGAAAGTTTAAAGGAGATCCAATCATTTTGTAAGCAGATCCTGATGCTAAACCAATATTAATATGATCATGACCTCCAATATATGTAATATTTCTTTTAATATCTACTTAGAATTATTTGAAAAGAGTGGAAGTGCTTAGCAAAATAGTTCTCGTAAAGCCATAAAACACATTTCCATATGCGTTTATTATTTTTTTTGGCTCTTCAATTGATGGGAAATAATTATTAGTATGAATTAAAAGAGAGTAACTTAAATTTTTGGATACTAAAAAAATGCTATTGTTGCCTTAAACTAATTAAAAGCCTGCTAAAAAGTAAACAGATGCATCGTTTATTACTCTTTTAACAGAAACAACCCTTTTTAGCAAACTAATTTTCACTACATAGCTGTTTGAAAGATATCCATCTAAAATGTAAAAATTACTCTATGCGTCAAAATACACTATTTCGTCAATAGAGTATTTATTTAATATTGTGTCTTAATCAGAGTTAAAAATTTGTATTCTATTAAAGTATTAAATCTAATTTGTTGTAAATATTTAATTTATATTTGATGCTTATTAACTTTCAAAATTAATTTAATATATTGAAATTTCTTAAGCTTTTTAAATGAAAACTCTTGAATCATAGCTCAATACAATATTTAAATTATTACTTGAAAAAATAGTCTAGCATTCCAAAAATAAGGTTTTAAATTCAGAGGTGACAATTTGAATGCAATTATTATAATTAATTGCTAATTTATCATAATTTGATACGATCTAAATAATGTTAGTTAAATTAGTAAATTAATTTAAAATAATTTGTTATTGAGGATCAATTAATAAAATATTTTAGCCCATAAGTGCTGCAATTCTGTTATCATGAAACTTCTATAAATCGAGGCATGTTTAATTCTAAAAACTCAATTTTTGAATAAGATTAATATTAATTCCTCTAGACGCATCATAAAAAATAATATCTCCATTTTAATGACACGATATTAATAGTTATGGAGAGAAAGTTAGGGCTACTGAATTGGTTTAAGAAGAAGGAGTGGGAAACGGTAGATTGAAATTTTCTATGATATCTAACTCCAAAGAGGATTCCTAAACATTGCTATTCCTAATTATTTAAATTGAGTTCTAAGAAAATAAAACAATTTCAAATACCATTTATGATTCGTTTTCTTGATGAGGGTCAAAATTTAAAGGGATTTTCTTTAAAAATTGACATTAAAAATTCAAAGAAAAAGTTTGCTATGATTATTAATATTAATTGTTTGCAAAATTGTAAATTATTAGCTAAATTTGATTAGAGAGAACAATTAGCTGACTATTTGTTCCAGTGAAGGTTCCAACATCAAAATCTGAAATTATTTGATTTTCATTTGAAATTAGGTTTGATTATTTTGTAATGTAGTTATAATCTAGGAGGCTTTACCCAGTTAGAATTATTAAATGTTGGGTAATTAAATCATTTGATGATGTTATTATTTTTACTTTTTGAATAGATTATTAAAGTATTAAAGTAGAGAATGTTTGCGCAATTAAATCAATCTCTAATATTTCGTTAGCAAAAATAGCAAAAATTCTGCTTGAATTTGTTGATTATAGCATTTAAATAATATTACCTTTATTTTCAAAAGAGAAGATTATAGGCTGGTTTAAATTTAGGCTATTATCAAGAACTTAATAATTGATTTATGAAATGATCAAATTAGTCTGATTACCCATAAAAATTTGATTTTTTAGAATTTAAATAAATTAATGAGGAAAATTGATTTAAATAACATTAGAAACTAACTTTTTTTGTTAAGTTATATCATAAATTATTTAAAATTATGAAAAGGATTATTATATTTGTTGGATTAGCAAGTAATTACCCAAAAACAAAGTAAATTAAGCTTGTTAATTTAATTAAACAATATTGCTATTATCAATGATCTACCTGTTTTCGTTAATAATGTCCCAAATGTTGATTGAGAAGTCTTTTTTGAGAATCACTACTAAATCTCCTATGTTTTAAATTCTTAAATCATCTGTTTAGTAGCTAAGATTTTTTACCAAATCTAACTTACTTTTATTATAGATAGAGAGATATCCTTATTACAGAGATACATAATAGGATTTTTGATATGTAAAAAAATCTGTTGGAATGCCGTTGTTTAAAAAATTTGGTTGAGTTGAGTAAATTGACGAGCATTTGACCTATTTTTGGCATGTATTTGTTGGTAAATCAGCAAAGTATAATGGATCACAAATAGACTAGCAGCTTCCTTAAGAGTTTTCATCTTAGTTATTGTGAGTTTAGTAGAATAAATTCTACTGGCAGTTTTGATATATGCAAGAGCCATTGATTAATTGATACTCGCTTAAACATTAATTACAAGAGGATATATTATTTTTAAGAGTAACACAAGCTTGGCATCCTATCTAGCATTACTGAGCCTATAATTTAGATATGTTTACTATGAAA